TATATATATATATATATATATATATATACATAAAACCTTTTTTGTGTTTCTTTAACTTGAACAAAATGTGCTAGGTAAAGACATTTTAAAGAAGTTTCTCTATAAAAGGTTTGATTGGTTGATTCTAATTAGTGGGGGTGTCCATCTTGTTTCTACCAATCACAGCTGTTGAGGCTGGGACGGGGCACGGCTCTAAGAGCCAATGACGTCAGTATCAGACAGCGGCGGTGTATGGGCAGGACCAGCGGGACCAGAGAAGTCAGCAACGATGGTTCTCATCAAGGAATAGTAAGTTTACTTGTTCTTATCGTCCAAACTCTGACTTTTCCCTATTATTCATTCAGTACTCAGTGACACAGACAAGTTTGGCTTTGTTAAACACTACTTTTTCCCCTGGTAAAAACTTTATTATATCTCGGTTAGGGACACGAGGAATTGTTCAGGAGCTGGTAAGGCCTACCGGCTTTGACAGCGACTGGTGATTGTTTGGCAGCTGTTGCTTCTCTTAACTTGAAGTTAAAACTTTGTCTCTCCTAAAGGCGCAGGCTGCGTTTAATCGGTATTAGAACAACTTAAAGCTATGAGTGGGTAAAGAATCGAATCTAAAACTAATTGCTAATGCTAGCTTAGCTAACGGAAAGCGTCACCTGGATGGGGAAGTCGTTGTTCTGTCAGTGATATCACCCAGACAGTATTTACACAAACAGGCTGAAGCTGAGGCGAGAAAAAAACAGTTGATGGGAATTTGTCTGAAGGCAAACCTTCCCTGCTTGCTCTTATAACTTTCACTCATTAAGCGTTTAATGCCTGCTTGCGTAATGTAAGTTAGATTTACACACTCAGTCAGCAGGATAATAGTATTATTTGACAAATCACAATAGATTACGTGGCATTATCTTGTAAACCTAACCCGTTATCTGTGCCTTTTTGCTTGTGAGAACTTGTGTGTAATTTCCACATGGATTATTACGTCTTAGTCTTCGAAAGGGACAAAGATAAAAGGTTTGAGCTGTGAAGGAATAAAGATTAGATTAAAGAAAATCTCGAATTGGCTGTGTTTTTCTCATCTGAAAACAAGTGGTATTGATTTGGTAACAGAATTTCTTAAAAACACAGAATATGCAGTGGCGTTTCTAAAGAAACCTTATTGTCAAAATGTAAAAAAGAAAAAAAACATGTGAGATTAAGTAATTTCCAAAGAGGCAATACAGTAATTTTGCTAACTGTTATATTAATAAGCTTTTAGAAAAAATCTTTTTTTAATTTTTTATTTATTTATTTGGAATTCCTTAATAAAATAAAGCTGACCATTACTAGTATTAGAACTGTATGTAATTTTTAAGCAAACCCAAAGTGAAAAACTTAATCGCTCCCCAAAGTTCCAGTTTTGTAAAAATTATTCTACAATTTGCATTTTTTTATAAACATTTCAACCATCACTAAGTAACTTTTTAACCTTCATAAAATACTTTCATAATGTTTATGATTATAAAGGGTAGATTAGACTTAAACCGCACACATCAAATGTCGCTTGCATCTGGTCGCAAGCCAGTTTTGCTGGTATGCTTCTGCACAGTCGGTCTGGAATTTCTAGGGATGCACAGCAGTTTCCCTCCAACGTGCAGGGGGGAGCCTATTGGAGAACTTCGATCACACCGAATCGAGAAGGACAACCACACAGACAGCTGGAAAGGCATACCAAGGACCAATCACAACTGCTTTTTGTCTGCGCGGGTTCGCGACTGTCCGACACATCAGAATTTTTTTGAGGTGCGAAACAACGGTTGTAGAACCTCTGCACAGGGGGCTTGTTTGCGCATAGAGACAGATTGGCAGTTGCAGAGGCTATGTGTCAGAAGCATAAATTGGCCTTTAGTTGCCTTACAACTAGTTGAATTGCACCTCTTACATGGCCCGAGGGAGGTTGTATCACTTTCAGCAATGTCATGTCCTATGTCCTGTCCTCAAAGTTGCACTAAGCAAATTTAAGGACAGAGGCAGTAAACCGGCCACGAAACACAACTACAAGTGTGCAGACTGTGTTACGGCAAGTTCAGTCTTCATCTCTTTACATCCCTTTCCACATTCATTATAAAGACAGAACTCAGTGGGACTAAGTTTCCCTAAGAACTTCACAATATTAACTGTGCAGGGTTAATATTCAGCCAACATGGAACCTTACTGTGGGGATCTATAAATGTGTTTGCTGTAAAACTAGCGAGCAGCATTAAATTCATCTGGTTCAAGGCTCTGTACTCGTCAGCACATCAGTCACTGATGAGTCAGGTGAGCTGTGTGTTGCCAGTTAGATTCATTACCTCATCACTAACCATCTTTCACAAAACCACTGGAAAACAGAAATGTAATTCAGTCCAGCTGCAGGTCACCGTAACATGCTTTAGGGTAACTGAAAAAGATCACTGTTGCAAATTTTTTAGTGAGGGTCATATAGTGATGATTATTGCAGTTTGTTTATAAAAACGCATACAATCAATTATAAAAGCGGGATACAACCACATGGCTGCTGCTGAACACGTTTTACTTTCTTGATTTACGGTTGGATAATCCATAATTTCTAATAGTCCAAGATGCACCAAGATTTGAAAATGGATACTTTGGCTTGTCAATATTTTAAGGCTGATATTAACTCTTTCTTTTTTTCTTGTTTCAGTGCACACAGTACCCCTCCCTCCTTTTACCATCCATTGCTAATGTATTGAAATTTACAATTTTTATGATGTAAAAGGAGGGAAAAAAGCAATATCAGCTTCAAGAATTGGCCCTGAAAATCTGGCAGCACACATCCAGAATTGGTTAGACTTATGTCAAAATAATCTGTGTTGGCATCTATCTTAAAAAATCCTACATTGATGTATCTCTTGAGGAACGTACTGTTCATGCATCTACATAGCATTGTGTAAATTCCTGTACTCCTTTCTTTACTAATATGTCCATGTTAGCAACTAGACTTAAAATAAATTCCCAGACCCACCGTTGCTTATGATGTACAGTCATGTGAAGTACTATTTATTAAACCAAGAATGGTTTTCTTTTTTAATCTCTCAAACAAAACAAATACACAAAATTGATTTTAACCACGTACCCCCAGATTATGTAGGTAGATGGATGGAGAAAAAAGGAAGAATGTGGATAAGGATATATATATATATATATATATGTATGTATATATATGTATGTATGTATGTATGTATGTTTACATTTATGGCTTCTTAAAAATCATTTGTTTTACTTGATTATATCTTTGTAATATATTTGTTTTAAAAGTGGTACTATATAGTACTGTGAAATGTGATGTCCAGGCCTATCCTGTTTTGTTTCTTTCTCTGGAAACTATTTGAATTAGGTATGTAATGTTGTGAATATCATAGGAATGTATTGTATCTCTGAACCATGTAGCTTTTATTCCATTAACCTTACTGTATGATGAGAAACAAAGTAGAAAGGCACTCATCCACAAGATCCATTACTGCCAATACTTTCTAAAAGTATTTAGAGCCTTGTTCTATTACACAATCCTTTTCTAATGCACCATCATTCAAATTACCTTATGGTGCATACAGTTCAAGTCATATCTCTGTTATGTATAACCCTGAATTTCCCTGCAACCTTGATGATGTGAGAACTCAGCATCACTCGTTCCGCTTCTTCCTGTCTTTTAACCGCTTATCTGAGGGTGTCATTTAAGTTTAGCCTTAGCTGGAAAAACAGCACAGCAGTCAATCTATTTGGGAATTATCTCACATTTTTCTGTGTTTGTTAATGCTGGAAATGGAGTGTTGGGCAAGAAGGCCTTGCTTTGGATTTAAGCTGAGATGGAACTTCCTTTTTTTTTTGCCCTCATTGGTCAGAGAGGAGGAACTTCTTGCTCATCACATTTAATGGTGCAATGAATTAATACATACTCTGAGCTCTTACAGGATTGGTACAAAACATTTTGGGTTCATTAAATATATAATCCTTTGCAATTAGATGTTTTAAATATTCTAAAATATTTACTTTTTGTTCCTCCTCCTTGTTCTATCATTAACATGTATTGCACAACTTTAAATTAGAATTTCTATGGGTTTGTTGTCAGCCATGCAACCCTTTTTATCGATGTTTTTGTTTTGAGGTATTTGACTTTGAATTTCCATTTAGTTCAAGCGAGCAGTGTGTTTATTCTTGCGGTCGTCCGCAGGGTGTAGTCCAGCCCAGGAGCAGTTGTTTTTTTTTTTTTTTTTTCCTCCCTTAATTTCCTCCCATTTAAAAGGCGACTTTATGGAGTTTCCTCATTAGTTTTATGTTTTAGTTGTTTTCTTTTTTTGATGAGATGTTGGCAGCATGACTCAAGTCAAATCAAAAACAGTTTATTTTGCATGCGATTGGGCCTTAATGTTTCACAAGCTGAATTTGACATCAGGAAAATGTTACCAGAGTTAACTAAATCCAATCTTCTTTAATTTTAGGTTATTCAAGGGCAGAGCCATTAAACATACCTGGTCCTATGATTTAGAAAAAGGAAAAAAAAAAGCTATTTTCCCTTGAACCTAATTTTTCCAGAATATTTTTTTTTTTTTTTTTGTTTGTTTCTGTAAAACAGTATCTTAATCTTTCCTAAGTTCTGACTTTGATAAAACCCAAATTCTCTGTTATTGTATTTCTTTGGTTTTCATAGGCCCATTCTGAGGTAGACTTGATGCTTTGATTCAGATCCTTTTCCTGTTTTTGACCCTAGAATGCTTGAACTCAAGGTCAGGAAGTGATGGGTGAAGGATTTTCTTTTAGCAGACAGTGAAGCAGCCCAGGAATAAGAAATAAGTTGCAATTGATTGGCAAACAGTTCTCCCTGGGAGAGCCACTGGCATAATGATTGGGAGTAGGTAGAAAACAGATTTTAGTAGCTGAATTTAAGAAACTCCAAAAACCTAAAGATAAAATTGCCATAATGGGGACCTTAAGCTGAGATGGTTATGGAAGGCTGCCAGTTGTCAGTGGTCAGGACCTTTTTATCTAGCCTGTGGAAGATGCACCAGTAAACATACACCATGGACTACAGGACGTAGAAGTGTTGTTCCCAAAAGATTCTTTCAGAGAATTGTCAGAATGCACTGAATGAGTGCATACTAGTACACATATTCTCTCTCCATTGTCCTAATATATTGAGTTTATATTTAACTGTGTCATCCCAAAGTTATTGCACTTTCAGTTTCTCCAAAATATGTCTGCAACAGAGATTTTATGGATGGGCTTTTTTTTTTTTTTTATTAAGGATGAAATATATATTGGTATTGGCTGATGTTGGCCATCTCTAAGCATATCAGTAACTGGTAAGTAAAGGACCAATGTTAAAAATTTATATTTATTTACATCAACTTGGTGTATCTGTTTTAAAAGGGAGAGGTTTGGTCATGTGATACTGATTGGTGCATCATGGGATTCTAAATATTAACTGAAGCAGAGAGGCAATGTCGACACTGTAGTTTTTTTTTCATGGTGTCAAAGTGATAGTGAAGGGTATAATAAAAAATCTCAATAAATATTGATATCATGTCAATATTGGTCCAGAGTTTCAAATCTGTGCATCCCCTAATTAAAATCAACAACCTTAGGCAAAACACCCTGAGCTTTATTAACTGAAGCTGTGGAATGATATTCATTTGTCTGGAAATAACTTGCATGTTTTGTTGATTCAGCTGAATAAAATGTTGGTTACATCCATGTAATAATTTCTTCTGCATATTTACCCAGCACTTGAATGGGTTCATTGTCACCTGGTGACATGGTAATTTACAGCTGTGTGTCATCTGCACAGCTACTCTGGGGCTCACTGACAGAAGCGAGACTGCTGCTCAGAGGTGCCACCGGCTCCTCGGACCACCGTTTGTGTGTAATGCGTGTGAAGTGTCTAGCCCAGCCAGATTAATCATAGCCCCTTAATACTGTTGAAAAACATACATGCTAATATTGGCCACAAATTGCCTGTTAAGGGCTGGTTTTACTCCAGCAGCAGTGTGTCGCAGTGAGCTTGTCGCAGATAAGATGCAAATATTTTTGATTTATGCCCAAATTTGAAGTGTGGTCTACGCTATGTTATTCCAGGCCACAACGCAAGAGGGACAATCGTGAACTAGCTGTGGGTCTAGATATGGCCGATGCAGTGAGGAAATGGAAAAACGCAAGGGGCAAGTTTGTGCGACAACGGAGGGACATGAGGGTGAAAATAAGAGGGAATCCAGGTGGAAAAAGGGTCTCAGCGTTCTCCCGTACCTCGCTCTTCTGGCGATTCCAACTTCACAAGTCGTTTTCCACAATGGCGTTCATACAAACAAGCTGTTACGGTACCAAACAGGAAATACATTTTTGGAGAGGTGCAGCAGAGTGTCTGCAGAAGGGGCCGAAGGCATATCTGCGTTATCTGCGACACACACGCAGACGACTTGGTTTCTGAGCATAAACCAGGCTTTAGAGTTAGACCAAAATGCCTCATTAAATGCAAAAGATACCCTTCAGTTTATGGCTGAAAATTAGGTAATTGTTTAAAAAGGTCAAAGTTTATTAAGAAACCCAGTTTATATTATCTAGTGCCTATTACCTCTGGGTCTGATTGTATCTGACATTTTATGGCTCTGATGTTTGATTGTGTATGACTCTTTTCCTTTTTTGTTTTTTTTCTCTCTTTTACGTATTAAGAGATATTTTATTTTTCTCATCAGTGGTAGGAAAAATCTGGAGATAAAACACGACATCGCTGAAATTAGGAGTGAACGGACAATCCTTGGGTTGCAGGGAAAACTTCTGCATTTGATGACACTGTGACCCAACTTTATGCCTGCTTACCGGATTAATCATAACCCAGCAATACTATTGAAGAACATAAACTTTAAATTCAGCTTTTTTGTAACACCATTAACATAAAGAACACCATTTACATCATGGTAACCACATTTAATCATATCCTATTACAATGCCCAAATTAAAATGACAGAAAAATAGCTGAAATAAAAGTTTTTACACTTAAGTTTCTGGAGTTTTAAATCATTACTAATTCTAATGTATTATTTATGTAATAAATCAAAGTACTTATGTCTAGAATCTTTTCACAATAACTATAAATGCTGTGATAAATGCCCACCCCTAATGGTAACTTATGTTGTTAAATATTAAGATTAGAGTTGAGTTGAGAATGTAGATATTGAATAGGAGGTGCACCTAAGATTAACCCAAGATTGGGGAACAGCAGAGGTTTTTTTTGTTTGTTTGTTTTTCCCCCTTCCCCCACAGTTTTTTTTTTTGTGTTTTTTTTTTTGTTTGTTTTTCCCCCCTGGTCTTTGGTGTTAAGTTACTGACACAAAAAGGTATCTGTCCTTTACGTAGGAAAGTTTGGACTACAAAGGTTGATCCAGTTTTCCAGGTACCCGAGCCGCAGTGTTGAATGCTGCACTAAGGTCCAACTTTAATTTCAAATAACCAGTTTTTTTTTTTGTTGTTTTTTTTTTGTCAATAAAATTTTATCAAAATCGGTTCTAATTGGAGAAAACTTTGCTGTTCATGTAGTGACTGCTACTTTTTTTTTTTTACAAACATCCAACAAAAACAAAAAATCTGTGGGGTTGATTACTTGCAGGCCATGGTAGAGGAGTTAACATGCAACAGTTACAGGAGGGTTTGTTAGCCTTGACCGAGGCAAAATAAACACAATTATGTTTTTTATGATAATCTCTAAGGCTGCAACCAACTATTTTTTTGGCAAATCAATTCATCTGTTTAATTTTTTCAACCAATTATTTCCTAAAGAAGACTTTTTTTTTAAAGAAATTAAACCAGGTTAAACCCAAACTTTTCCACTGGAGGAGTTCTAGACCCAGTTTATATGATTTAGTGGATCTGATGGTATCTGACATTTTATGGCTTTGATGTTTTATTGTTTATCACTCTCTTTCCCTTTTTAGTTTTGTTTCTTTCACGTATTAACAGATATTTTATATTTCCCTTCTGGAAAAATATGGAGATTATGTTTTTAAAACTCAGAACATGTTTTGATTATATCTTTTGCCTTCAATATAATTTCTCTTAAAATAGTTTGGTTTAATTTGTCAGGTATGTTGTTGCTTTTTACAAACTGTTTGAAGAGCAAATTGCAGGTTTAAGGGTTAGTTCTTGCCAAAATGCAAAATAATAGATTTTATTTAAAAAGTTCATTTAGGATTTTAAGTGTTTTGGTGATATTCCGTAGCAATGTCCCTAAAATTTACTTTTTTCTAACAAGTCGTGTCATTTGATGTCACGTCAGTGAGTCAAATATTCTGTGCTCCTTCATCTGTGGAGATGAGGTAGTTAACGGGTAGAGCGGATGTGTAATTGGTTTTGAGGTGGATTTTATTTATCATAAACATGGTAAAATGTAGCTTTGATAGGGGGGCTGCTCACACTCTGAATAATGATGGTTAAATTGATGAAACTTGTTCCCTCAGAAGGACTAAAATAAAACAACGCTGTTTCAATCCTTATGCAAACATTCAGAGGGCAGACGGCTCATCAAACAGGAGATCCTGCACGCATTTGCTAGTGGATGGCTGATTGAGAACTGTGATTGAGGTCAATATGAATGCTGCACAAACCTTAAATAAAAGGAAGAAAACTGGATCTATTCTCTCTGCCAGAGCAAAGCTAGTGTTTCTCACTGCTTTCCACCAGAGATTTTTCTCTGTGATCGGTTTTCTAGTTGCACATATTTAAAGTCTGTTGTCTGAATTAGCATTGGCATCCATCGTTTACTACTGGAAAGCTAAGTAAACTCCCCAACGGTTCGTCACTTCTGGTGCCCTGTTTTAGATACGGAAGTCAAATTTTCTTACAAAAAGAACCCGCAAAACATAAAATTACAGTTTGATTAAAAAACCAAATTCTCAAATATTTTTCTAAACACCGATAGAAGTGAGGCACTAACCTGCAATCAGCTCTTTAAATTACACTGAGTAAAGCTGATCCATTTGTATATCTGGAATATCTTAGTGTTTATTCCAATTCTTATTTATTACATCCTTTATATTTCGGTTACTGTAAAGTTTTGTTTAAAATTGCATATTAACTAAAGCAGAATTGAGAGATTCTAAGCCGAATTGCCTATAAATGACTGTAACCCTGAAAACTAAATCTATTTGTTTTCTTGTTTTGCAGCCGAGTGGTTTTACCCTGTAGCGTTGAGGAGGTGAGTGACCTTTTTTATTCTCTAGAATCACTCACTAGAATGTTAATATCCCAGATGTAGAATTCCTGCATGATGTGGACAGATCTGAAAGTATAGAAATGCAGAAAAAGGAAACGAGAGTAAAGACTCTTTCAGTTGCTTGTTAAATTTTACTAAAGCTCTATTTTACTGTATATACAAAATAATGTTCTCTTGAGCGATCTTACTGCAAAGTAGCATACCATTTTTACTTTCACAGAGGTAAATAGTAATATATATTCTTCTAAAGAGTGGATTAACCTAAAATATTTTCAGGTGAACTGCTCTATAGAGAAATGACTTTGAGCGTAGTTGAATGTCACTGTTTTTTTTTGGTTTTTTTTCAGTATCAAGTTGGCCAGCTGTTTTCTGTGGCAGAAGCAAGTAAAAATGAAACAGGTGGCGGTGAAGGCATAGAAGTACTGAAGAATGAACCTTATGAGAAGGATGGAGAGAAAGGGCAGTATACACACAAAATTTACCATCTAAAGAGGTAGGTGTCTTTTTATCCATAAAATGGATAATATGATGTGCATCATTTCTGGCATGTAATAGTGCAGTACTACCAGGAAGTGGCAGTGTTGTCTTATTTGTGAAGCTGTTTCTGCTGTCTGTGCTGTAGATCCTAGAAACCTGAATTGTCCTCTTTTTTCCTTGTCTACCCCTGTCCTCCCTCACACTTCAGTAAAGTCCCAGGTTTTGTCAGACTCATTGCCCCTGAAGGCTCCTTGGTATTCCATGAAAAAGCTTGGAATGCCTACCCCTACTGCAGAACCAGTGAGTTCCCCTCTGATTACTGCTTTGCCCAAAACAAACATACTCACTTGGATAAAACACACACTCGGTTATTTGTCATTTTCATTGTAACCAGTAATACTTAAAACATTTTCCCTTTCTTCTCCCCTCTCGGTTAACCTTGATGCAGTTGTGACGGTATGTATGTCTAAAAAAACCTTTAAAAAATGTAAAGTTGTCAGTGAACTGTATATTCTCATAGTGAATTTTCTTTTGTTTCCTCTTCAGAATGAATATATGAAAGACAGTTTCTTCATTAAAATTGAGACATGGCACAAACCCGACATGGGAGAGCAGGAAAATGTAAGCTATCACATTTTAACTTAATTCCTAAATCAAATTTGAACACCTTGGAGAGAAAGGAAGCTGATGATCTGTGTATTTTAAACAGGTGCATAAACTTGACAACTCAACATGGCAGAATGTAACCGTTGTTCCCATCGACATTGCAGACAGAAGCCAAGTGTCTGCTGCTGTAAGTAGAAATCTTTCAGATTTGATGCACAGTGGGCTTTGATTTAGTGCCTCCATGTGGCAGCTTCACGTCATTGCACACTATTACACTTCATAATATATGCCTCTTTTGCTTACCTGGGTTTGCTAATTATTATACATTTTTTTGTCACACATTTTGAGAAAATGAAACAATTTTGTAATGGTTACAAAAGCTTTTTTTAATGATTTTTTTTTCCTTTGTGAAAAAGGGAACAATGTGATGCTAACCTACTCATTAAAAGAGTAATTACGTCTAAATTAGAAATTGACTGTACCTTACCAAACATTTGGAAATCAAGGTTTTATCAGACTGAAACTGATCTGTAAATTCAAGAAATCTCTTTACATGGAATCCATTCATTGAAATGTACCGTAAGTCTTATAAAAAGCAGCATCAAGAACAGATGAGAAACAATGTCTTCTATTTGACTGGAAATGGTTACAGAGCTATTTCCAAGGCAGCGGACTCCAGGGAATAACAGTTGGAGCTATAATCTATGAAAGGGGAGAACATGCAGCTGTGGGGAACATAGGCCAACCTTTCAATATCCATACAAGACGCAATGACGACTCATACTGGAGGTCACAGAAGAACCCAGAACAAACTCTACCTCACTGCAGATCTCATTTTCTGAATTAGAGCCAGTGTTTATGATTCAACAGTAAAATCTGAGCTGCCCAGAGAGAACACAAAGATCCTTCTCTCATTTAGTAAAAAGCAACATGAGAATTTTCATCCTATTTTGTTTACTAACCAGGCAACAGTAGAAAGTATTGGAAAAGGGGAAGTTACTACATTTCAGAAAAATAAATCTCAAAGGTACTTAAAAGGGCTGCTGGCTGCTGAGCTTCAGAAAATGGTTGACTTGGTGTAATTTCAGGAACCACAATTTTGCCTTACATCTGAAACATAAAGCTTATTCGTGATATGCTGCAGAATGTGAGCAGCTTCCACCAACTGCAGCTATTAATGTATCTAAGGCCTATTCAAAGCTCTGAGAGAATCATAAGCCCCATTTACACTACCCTTGAAAAAGCGATCCATGCCGAGAGCGGTCCGAGCTCTGATCAATTCACCAGGCCGAGCTCGGTTCTGACGACCGTTTACACATCATGCTATCTCGGTTCCTCGCCTCCTAGTGACGATCTGCTGTATTACTGCCAGTATTGAAGGAGGAAGTCAAGCAGTTGGTGGCGGTAATGCACCAAAAGTTGTTTGCCAACCGCCATAAAACACAAGAAGAAGAAGACGAAGAAGGAGGGAATCAAGCAAATCAAAATGGCGGCACCCGTCACATTCAGAAAATTAAGCTTGATTATTATTGCTGTACCTCAGTGTTATTATTTAAAATGCCATTATTTAAAATGTTGCGTGGAGAAGATTTCGATTGTTGTTCATAGTTGAAGAAGAAGTTGTTGTTCTGTTTCTGGAGGGGCATTACTGCCAACTACTGGAATGGAGTGTGAATCGCAATGGAGATGACGCGTTCTGCTCATGCGCTCTTGTTATCAGAGAACCGAGCCAGGGAAAAAACCGAGCCGAGCCCACCTCTGGAACTGGTCTGCAGTTAGCGCGGTCCGGTTGTGTCTAGCTCGGTTCAGTTCAGTTTGCTTTCCATTTACACACGATAGGTATATACACGATAGGTAGATACTCGGACCGGTATCTGCACGGTTTTTCAAGGGTAGTGTAAATGGAGTATTTGTGACCTAACAGACTTATATCTGATTATTGGAAATGTTTGCTAATGGTGTAGGCCAAGCCTTGGATGAGCTGTTCTTTGGTTGTTTTGGTCAGCTATTTATTTTCAGAATTTTTTGTCTTATTGTATATTATTTAATTGGATAATCTAAAACAAACAAAAAATGCAAAAATCTGAGCAGGCTAACTATTTACTAAAAACTCGTCTGACATTTAACTGCAACATTGTGGAGTTACTATTAGCTTTAGTTGGAATATTTTCACATCCTGATTTTTACCTTCTTTCCTACTGTTGAAATTAGTAAAGCTGCTTTTAAAGCAGAAGTTGTCCATTGAAAGCTGGAGATGTGACCTGATTAAATGGTTACCTTTTCAGAACGTTTATTTTTGGAAGAAGTTGATACCAAAAACTTTGGTATCTCTAACAGTTGTTAAAGGATTGCACAAAGGATTGCATAATTAATTATTTTTAAACAAATGCACCTTGTTACTAAATTTGAAGATTATTCCCCAACGAAGAAGTTTCTTGGTCTATGAGGTATAACTAACAGTAAAACTCAGCTTGTTCCATCATTACTTTAAACCCCCTCTCTCCTCGGAGATATAAAACCGATGTTTTGACATCCCTGCTTGACAAGTAATTCAGCACTGATGGCAAACCATTGTTCTTCTGCTTGTTGATTATTAACTCACTCAAGATGATAATGTCACATTTTGCTTTGCAGTTGAAATAAGTAATAAGCAACTTTTTAGGATGCTTCAAGGTGTTCTATAGTTTCTAAATACAAAGAGTAAATTTAGTTTTTTGTGCCTTCTGAAATCTTATTTGAAGATGTTGCACATTATTGCCCAAATCTGACATCCCATTGCCTCATTTCTGGGCCACAATTAAATGTGCTGCTGCTTGAGAGAGGAGCATTGGCTGCTGTGTGTGTACATGTTTGTTTGCTGCGGGTAGCTAACGAGGCGGACGTGTTTGCCTTGCTGAAGGAGTGTGTTGTGTCTCAGGGCCCTATCAGCCCTCAGCCTCGGGCATGACTGCAGGGCCCAGGGCGTACCGCCAGCACAGATGAGTTTGTTAGCGTAATTAAAGCTCACTGTGCGGTGTGCAGCGGAACTCCACAAACGCACACATGCCTGCGTGGCTAAGCAAGCTCTTTTACGTGAGAAGTAGCTCCTCTTCGTGTACCGCGGCACATCGATTCACAGACCTCATTAGTACCGCTGTGTATTGTTATAGCAATGGAGCTCTGAGCATTAAAACAACCAGATTATTGTGGCTGAATGTGTGCAGCGCTGTCACGTGGCTGCGTTTCCATTTCTCTCTCTGTTTGGCGTCCTTCTGTCGAGAAGTAACCCTGAAAAAAGAATCTTTTTAGCTGCAGGCGCATGATGATTTATTTAAAATTGCTGGGCACTCGAGCTGTTGAAAAGCTGAAAACCATTCAATCTTTTTTTTTTTCTCGCTTGTATTTAATGACGTTCATTTTTGTCATGTTATGCTAATCTTTTAGATGTGTGTTCCAGTTCTTAGAACCAGGTTCAGCTTTATAATGGGACTGTGAGTAGTTTCATCAGATAATTTGTGCCAGACTGAATAGGCTTTATGCACAGCCCACCTTCTCCTCATTTCACATCATTTAGCATTGCTGGGTATCTTTCTGATATCTACAAATACTCTATTTTAATATGCGTTGTTACATAATTATTTCCTTGCTTCCAATTTTCCATTGTGAAAAACAGTTTATGATGCACAACTTGGGGGTTTTTGCAGGTTATGTAAAATTTTTCTGGGATTTTGCAACATTAATTATTGAAAATAAAATTCTTTCCATAGGACTACAAGGCTGATGAAGACCCAGCCATATTCAAGTCGGTTAAAACTGCCAGAGGACCCCTGGGGCCAACCTGGAAGGTAATAATATAGTAGCATGTTATAAAACACAAATCAGCCTGCAGAGGCATTCAGTTCATACCCTTTGAATGTTTTCATATTTTATCAACTTGCAACGCAGTATTGTACTTTATTATTATTATATAGATTTTGCAAAACCTCAGATCTACTAAGACCTGAAATATGTTGGGGTAGCATCATTGCATACAGGGCAGTCCTGGAGAATAACCTGTCTAAATCTGCAGAAGATTTAAACCAGATTTTTTTACCTGCAGAGTACTATAAGCCTAAACTGTGCAGCCTGAGCTACAATGGAATGCTTTCAATCAAGGCGTTTTGATGTTAGACTGGCTCACAGTCAAAAACTAAATCCAACCTGGAATCTGTGGCAGACTAGCCACCTGAACTGGAGTCTTATGCCTTGGCCACGGGGTATGAAGTAGCTAGACATGTTGTAATTTTCTTTGGCTGCAGCTCTGTAAACTAAAGACTCTGCTCATTATTGTACTAATTTATCACCAGATGTAAAGCTGCTGCTAGAATCTCACTCTGTCTGCTGTTTCAACCACAGGAATCTTTCTAAATTATTCAGTTTCTTATTAGATTTGCTTCCCTAATTAATTGCAGTTTGCACTCCATACACCCAGAGAATATAAACACTGTAAGATTGACTTGGCACAGTATACCTGGGATGAGTCGCACATTTAAGGACTAATTCACAACTATGGTAAGCTGCAGTGAATAGCAGAAACACAGACTATAACAAATTCAGTGGAAGGTTAATGGTCTCTTTTTAAACAGTGCTTGATTGCCGAGTTACTGTTCCCTCACGATTTGGTAGTGAATTGATTATAAGGAGATATTAATTAGATTGAAAAGCTAGAAAATCAGCATGAGACTTCTGTGCAGAGAAGGCTGGCTTGTTGGATCTAAATTGAACAGATGTTTTGAGACACAGACAGAAAAGCTCTAAATAGAAATGTTGCTGCTTCTTGCTACATTTATGTTATCAATTTACAGTTTTTAAGTATTCATACCCAATTAAACTTGTCTCATTACAACCAAAAACTATATATGACTGGGATTTTATGTAATGCACTCTAAAGCTTAGGAGGTTTTCTTCAAACACCTCTATATAAAATGCTGTTTGGCCAACTGGCTTTCATAGTTACCTAATTAGTTTAATGAACATGGGAATAATTTTCATAGAAGTCACTTTACAGACCAGGGTTATGGTTCTGGACAACTTAACAGCAAGGTTGGGTTACAAAATGAGTTTTAAGCACCTCATGGAACACAGCACTATATGTCATCTGAAAATCAAGAGAGTATAGATGAAATCCACTGCTGTCCACCTGTGGTTAATTGACCATAACACAGAGGGGCACAGAGGCAAAAAACTTGCGCACACACACACTCACCTGAGGACAATTTAGAGAAGCAGTTGTGTTTTTGGACTGTGGGAGGAAGCTGGAGTGCCCAGAGAGAACCAACGCATGCAAGGTTAGAACATGCATAGTCCATGCAGAAAGACCCTGGAATTGAAACAGGAACCTATTTGCTGCAAGGCAGCAGTGCTACAAACTGTGAAGCCTGTATAATTCTCCATTTCCTAATTATGCTCTACTCTGTTACATGCTAAATGTGAAAGTAAAAGGGAAACATACTTTTTATGTTAATAGATGATGATGTTAATGTTCTTATGAGTCTAATTTAAAGATCACTATTCTTTCTTTTTTTTATTCAAACTAGAAACCAAAAACAAGAGGAACAGATGCTCAGCAAAGCTCCAGACGTTTGACAGGCAGTTGTCTGATTTGTGTTTTGGCCCATTTGAGGCTGCATGGCTGGAGTGGAAGGACATTATGTCCTTATTTTCTTAAAACCCAAAATGATAAAAAAGGATAAGCTTTTTAGTTTAATTTCAGTAATGAAATAGATTTGTTTGGTGTGTGGGTTTACTGCATTATGATGTTGATGTAGTCTTGCAGCAAGTTTTCTTGTATAGTAGCAATTTTAATTACAGTGATAAAGTTTGTATTCATTGATCAAAGCTAAAAGCCTGGGATAAAGTTAATGAGTAAGAATTATCTTTCCTAAATATACTTAATCAGATCACTTTGTAAATGGTTTTCCCAAGTGTTATCCTTTACAGGTAAATAGAGGGAAGTTAAAGTATTGCAAATTGTTATTTTTAAGATATATATCCTGATCTTTGAGTTGTATTCTTTTGTGGCACAATCTTGATGTAAAATTGATAAAGATTCACTTTAAGGGACAATGATTGTAAATTTAAACTATTTTTCTGAAAGCCGACACTTTTGATTAAAAGGATTTGATTTAGGCAAACATATTTATGCTAAAAAACAAACAAAAAAAAAAAAAAACTGGTTGCGTTAATGGAGCACTTACAGTCTGTTCTGCAGTGGATCCCTTAAAGTTCACCATGGGAAAACTTTCCTCTGCTGCAACATTTTTTTTTAACATAACAAAGACATCCTAACTGCTTTTAAAAGTGAGAATAAAGAGCGTAACTTTTTTTATTTTGTTATTCTTAATTGGATCACTTTCCCGTCCGCTGCGGACAAGGAAAAAGTGTTTTATTAAAAAGGTTGGGGAGAAAAAAAAATTATAGTTATGTGACAACAGAAGCATAATTTTTGCCAGCTTCTCAGAGCAATAAAACTGTTGTCTATCTCTGCATGCACACATGCTTGCATATCGGCAGGCCTTTGTATTTCTGAAAACTTGTGCTCCTTTGAGTGGGGCACAGAGAGGGAGAGAAGAAATGTCACCGTAAGTGTTTTGATGTAGAATCCGTTTCATGTGAAGTTCTCCTTTAGCGATGACAACTTTTCTAAACCCACTGCAAATTTAGAAATGTTTCTCATTTCGCCTCTCTCGCGCTCCTTCATGATCGCTGCATCAAACGGCAGCAGGATGGGGCGTGATTGAGGCGAGTCTGTGGCATTTTCCTCTTGGAACGCTGAGCTGGAATGAAGTGATTAATTAAACAGGTGTTCTCGGAGGGAGAGCGTGCGCCTGTGTGTGTTCTTTGGAGGGGGCGAGCAGGTCCTAGGTGTTAATAATGTAACCGGCTTTGCACCGCGACACCCTTATCGCTTTATGAGCACCGTTTTATCTGCCTTCTGTGGCCACAAAGGCGCGCCTGTCGGGAGCGGTGTCGCTGTCAGGGCGGAAGCAGGGAAATGGTCCCTTCATCTAGAGTTTATCCACTTTGCTCTACCCCCCTCCCACACACACCGCCCCCCCTCTCTTGTCTTCTCTTCTTCAGAGGCAGGCACATTGCAAGCAGCGATGGATGAATTTAGAAAGTGTCTTGTAGATTAGGGTGCTTTTATCTTCGCACAGCACAACTTCATATTGATAATTATTTTAGTAAGCTCCAAACCCAGCGCATTATGTATTAATGATTTTTAGCTTTGCACGCATCTAAGATGAGTCTAAAGCAGTGTTCTCTTATCCTTATGCTGTTTTTTCACATTTGGCTCAATGGAAAGTTTGTCAAGTTTTCTGTTTCCTTATTTAGTTTGATACTTTTTAAAGGAGCGGTGCTTATTTTCCCAACAGAAAGAGCTGGCGAGTAAAAGTGACTGCCCAAAGATGTGCGCCTACAAACTAGTCACAGTCAAGTTTAAGTGGTGGGGGCTGCAAACCAAAGTGGAGAACTTCATCCATGAGGTTAGTGATTTTTGTTTTTCACCGTTACCAGGGTTCCTGCGGGTCCTTGAAAAGTCTTAAAAGGCATTGAATTCTTCAAAATAAAACCAAGGCCTTAATTGGTATTAAAATGTCTTAAATCAGTCTTTCGTAGGTCTTAATTTTTAAAACATCATAAATAGGATTATTTTTATTACGATTTATTTTTGTAATCTAAATAAAACGTTCAAATTGACAAAAAAAAAATTTTTTATTTAAAAGAAAAAAAAAAAATGGCTT